GTTTACATTCGTTCACTAATTTAAAAGTTATAGCATGAAAACTATAACAAGCACAAAATGGTTATGACATCAGTCTCAGGGACCAAGCTTCGGGTTGAAAGAGTTATACAAAACTCTCTAATTGAAAATGACAGTTTTTTTTATGATATCACTCTTGTTAACATACAAAATCTTCATATTAATCCAGATAAACACAAAAAATAATGTGGTTTGAGATTACTATTCTAATACTGACCAAAAAGATAAGGTATTTCTCAATTACGATGTTAACATTCATCACACTTTGTTTTGATCAATCCCACCATTCACATGTTCCAGGAACCTCCTTTTCAGTTTAGACATCAGAGGGATTTTTCATAATGTCAAAAAATAGGTCAGGATTCCCCAGAAAGCTAGGAGTTTCACTTGGGAGATTGAAGTAAAGAAGATACTTTCACAAGATTACAACATAACTATGATTTTAGAAAAAAATATACAGAAAAACACATGTTTGATTACAATGTAAGTTAAGAAAAATGCTTAGAATTTTCATTAAACCCTATTGGGCCATTTTGATTAATTTTTATTGTTCTAGTTATCTCATGGGCCTCCTAGCTGATCAAGGCCAACTATATAACACAAATTTCAGACCCTGGTTTTTACCAAAAATGCAAAGTTGTGACACCATGAATGACATGATGTTATATACACAGTTAGATCACGATGAATTTACAACCATCTGACAGTAAAATGCTACATCAGGTAGACTTATGGGTGAATTATATAACAAGCCTTTTGTAAAAGATTTTGTATTTTGTTTTGGAATTTTCATGCAAAGCTACACAAGGGGCTACCTGTGCATAGTTGTCAATAATTTGGAATTAATAGATTAAGAACAGGCAGCTATCAACAGCACCTACCACCAATTATTAGACTATTTTAATCAAATAGCCAAGGCTCCAAAGTGTGAAGCATGTTTTTGCAGCTAAAACATTTGTTAAGCCATAAATGTTTAGGAAACCAGAATTTTCAAGAAGATTTGGTATGATTAAAGGAAAAATACATGTTAAAAACTTATAGGATGAATATATTACCATATAAAGTTATGAAAGCATTAAATGCCATTAAACAAAGCAAAGGTATCAAATAAAGTTTGGAAGAAATCAGTCTGATGTATTTGAGCTAATTGGAAGTACATTCCAGACTGCAACCTGAGATATTGGAACTATTGGTTCTTCTTATCAGCAGAGTACAGACTCAACTCAATTATTAATAAGTAACAGATGTTTATGAAACTAGAAATACATCTAGCAGGAATATGAGATGTATTGCATGCCATAGCCATAAGAGTTCAGCATTATAAAAAATTAAGGAATTCCCCACATGAAGCAATGAGTGGAGAAAGAAAAAAAAGGAACATGTGCCAACAAGAAGTGAAGCAGCTTGGGTTCCAATACATAAGTTAAATGACTTGAGTTCCTATTCATGTACCAGTAAATCACTAAAAAGAAATAAGTATGCCACATTAAGAGAGCCTATCAGCATCCTAGTTGTAGTTATGGTTACAATAACAGATAACTGAATGATAGAAATTTCTAAAACAGTGCAAGCATACAATTTAATGCAAATAAAAAGCCACAATGTTTTGGCAATCATCATCATCTTCTGGATATCATGCCTAAGTGGCTGTTCCAGATCTTCAAGCTCCTGCTGGAGTTCAGATTCTACCATGGTGATATTGCAATCGATGGAGAATATTCATCACACTAACATTTTGTAAATTAAATTGCGGTCTCTGGTTTAGTCTAATAACGTAGTTAAATGAGAATGTATTATGACTGAAATTGTACTATGGGTGGAAATAATATAAGATTTAATAAGATTACTAAAAGATATAATTGAAATGTTGAAAAGCTTGATTCAAGAAAATTCCTTATAGAGTGTTGACATAATAGAGAATTTAAGCAGAATCCAATTAATTGATAACCTGTGAACTATAATCAAAATTTTACTGTAGACATTAGAGAGTTCAATAGATGAACCTGTGGTTGTAGAATTAAATAGTTTTGAAATCAATTTTGATGTAAACGACTTTCTGAATTTGTTTAATTAAAGGTGTTGTGCTACCTAGTCTCCGAGTGAATTTCTTTATTCAGAACGTAAATCTCCTTGAGTTGGTGGCCTGTCAACTAACCCATGAATGCATAACCTGAAATTCAATAAATTATATTTGTAAGTTATGTTAAGTTGAACCCAAACTACTGCCATACAAGCACCCATTACACAACGATAAACCAAGAATTCTCAAATTCCTGCACGGCACTAAGTCACACTCGTTCTAAAGAGAAATGTACACATAGTGAAGCTAAGGTGCAGCACGCTGAAGAAGAAAGCTTCCAGTGTTCTCCACAGATGTGAGAAAATTTGTACATCAACTGGCTCCAAAATCATAAAGCAAGTCCATTCATGTCAACATTCTCATTCTCTAATTCAAAAAGCCATTATCAAGATGAAGAACATATCTCCTAACACCATAAACAAGATAGTAAGCATAGATTTGAAGTTGATTAAGGCCTACTGAAAGGTTTAAGAGCTTATAGCCACACCTTGAAATCAATGATTACTTTTATAAGCAAGGCAACAGAAAAAACTGGAATCACAGCAACCTCATTCAACCACATAATTTTAAATTTCTGTGATTATGCTTCAGTAGATGTTTGTGTGTTTGGCTGTTTAAATTTGGTCAATGAATGCTAAAGTGTATGATCCCCCCCCCCTCAAAAAAAATCTGTTATCAATTAAAAGTCAGTTACTGCACAGTTTTCCGGTCTAAACTATCATAAAGTACTTTAATTCATCATGTAATAATCCTTGCAAACTCTGTAACTGATAATCACATGTTGTGTACACAAAGTTTGTTTCTGCAACTGCTATTCGATGCCAGTCCTTACTGATCAATGCATACCAGTATCATGGGAGTAGTATTTCTCAAGGCAAAGTTATAAGTAAATTTGTAGATAATGGTTCAATTATTAATAACTATTATGTATTTGACAATTCCTGCTTAAGATGTATATGCTTAAAAGATTTAATATATTTATTTTTATAATTTATTGCTGTAAAACGTATACCAACTCTTGCTCCTGACATGTCACAATTTCCAAATACGTAATTTGTTTTTTAAGAATGTTATCATTTTTTCAATAAATAATGTACCATGTTTTCTTAATAAGTTATGAGGTTCTTAATTTTTGACACCCAGTTTATTAATGTAGTCTTGATATTCTGAAATTCAATACCTGATTTATTTCACTATACTTAATATTTTAAAGTTTTTAATACAAAACTATCAATACCTGATTCATGTCAACTTCAAGCTTGTGTTTTTTGGCATAAATAATTACTATGGATAAGGAAGACACAGTTGACACCAAAGACAGAATGATACTTGAAGTCAGTACCTGAGGAAGAAGTTCAAATGGAGGAGATTCTGGAGCTTGGAGACTATAAAAACAAATGTCTTAGTGATTTCACATCTACAGAAAGACTACAAAATTAGTAACACAGCATTTACAAAGAACACAAGACTAGTAACTGTTGAAAATAAAGTTCAATGATCTGCTTAAGTAAAGAGTGCTTTAAATCACCTTAAAATAGCATAACTCACATAAAAGCACAGGTCAGTCATATTGTTGTATCATGATCTGTTAAAACTACTAGAAATTTTTCATTATGATTAATCTATAGCAGACAGGTTCCAGTATGAGTTATACAAGCACACAAATCATTTCTACTGTTTTTATCAATGTTAACACTACTGGAATTCTGGTTTAACTCTCTTGCTACAGGTTTGATGCATGACACTGATCTCATGATTTCAAAGTGGTCATCAGGATTTTCATGCTATAACTTTTAATATGGTTTGTGTAACTTCACACAATTTGGCAAGTTTTCAATAAACATTACAAGTAAAGACTTGAACACAAAAAAAAATTCAGATTTTTTAATTAAGTATTTTTACTAAACTTTGTCCGTGAGTATATGTCAGTGTTTGACTGATCCAAGTGCAAAGTGATTTTTTATGTTAAGATTAAAAATACTTTTCTTTTTCTGAAAATTGTGAAATTTCATTTGTGTAACCTCTAACAATTCCTAAATAAATACCAAAATTTTGTTCAGTAAAATTTTGTATTATATTTGTTATTTTCTCCACCCTAACTCTATACCAATTTGACTGACCTTGTAACCAACATAAAAAAAAAAGAAATAAATCAAAATTACTCTTTTCCCTCTCTAGGATGACTGCAAATTGTAACATGAAACTACAATTGTTAATCCTAAATAGCTTAAAGCTCTTAACAGAATACATCTCTTTATACTTAATTTTATTGTTTTATTGCTTTTTGAACAGTGTCTAACTAATAATCCCACCACACAAATAGTAAATTACTCTGCGAACATGCAGCTCACATTACTGTATCAAATTATGTAATCCACAAGCTGCTCACAAGCATGTCTTGTGTGTAGAATTTTTCATTATTAATTATTTTCATTATCTTACCTGACACGTTTCTAATTTTTACATTTTAGTTACTTTTTTTAATAATAAATAAAGAATACACATGAAAAACAAGAAACATAGTACTCACTTGGGCCTACTTTTTTTTATACTAATGGTACTTCTACACAAAATAATTATTATTTAATTAAGTCTTATACAAAAGAACACAGAATAATAACTCAAAATTACTCAAAATTTAGTGGTATTTGTTGAATAACTTTGCACATGTAAATTATATTTACATCAAAGTTCACACCTAGATGTCGATTGTAAAGATCTATCACTGCCAAATTTGAAAAAAAAATCCATAAAAGTTAAGTATGTTTTTCTATCAAATAAAGTTTCCATACTATCGATGAGAAGAAAAAAAATTCAATCAAAATTGGAGAATTTATATCTCGTGTTTCTCAATGGATTGCCTTGAAATTTGGTATGTGAAGTAAGGGTTCTGTAGAGCACATCCAATGAAAATATGTGACAGTTTGGGTTAACAGTCTAAGCTACAGAAAGTGGAAAATTGCTAAGTTATCACTCCTTTTAATAACACACAGTGTGTCCTGCAGGTTGTTTTGGCTGCACAACACACTACCGTGTGTCTTGATACAAACTCAGGTCAGTAATACTGTTTTAGAGAAGTTAAAACTAGTAGAATTCTGGCATTTGTATTATCAATAGTAGTTGGACTCCAACATACTTACAGAAGAACACAGGTCAGTCATTCTGTTTTATCAAGGTTATTGCTAGTGTAATTCTAATACTATAATTTAGCTACAGAACGCAGAAGGTAATATTAAAATTAGTACAATTCTGGCATTCTGACTTACCTATAGCAAAAGGACTCAAACAGACTCAAACTTACAGAAGAAAACATACAAACAGTACTGAATTGTCAAAGTTAAAATTAGTACAGTTCTGGCTTTCTAATTTGTCTATAGCAGAGTGGCTCCAACAAGCCGCGTATAAAAACACAGATTAGTCACTTTGTTTTGTAAAACTAGTACAGTTCTGGCATTCTGATTTGTATATAGCAGAGTGGCTCCAACAAGACATGTATAAAAACACAGGTTAGTCACTTTGTTTTATAAAACTAGTACAGTTCTGGCATTCTGATTTGTATATAGCAGAGTGACTCAACACTTAAATAAGTACCTATGTCAGTGATATTGTTTTATAACACAAAGATAAAACTATCACATTTCTGGGAGCATGAGACTTCCATCAATAAGAGTCGCACATCACTCATGCAGAGTTATCAGGTAAAACTTCTGATATGGCAATGTTTTGTAAAATGATACCAATATAACACATGCAGAGTAGAAGTAGCTGAGATATAATCAAACCTATTATCTCTCCTTAAAGCAATATTGTAAGAAGTCCTTAAAAAAAAAGCTAGAGACTTACCCAGTGGGAATATCACCAACAACATCAACATCATATAAATGATGTAACTTAAGATAATGAGATGTTACTGTCCCAGTGATGACCTAGAGATATCAAAGCTTTATGGTATTAAAATAAACAAAATGTTTTACAATAACTGAAATTTTTACCTTTCATATACATGTTTGCAAACACGTCACGATTACATTATATTATTGTTTTACAATGGAAGTTTCTCCTGGAAATAAACTAATATACATATCTAATCTCCTTAAGAGCAAACCAACAGAAACTGTTCATTAAATATTTGTACCTCTGAAGATGCAATGTAAGTGATAAAGCTACATATTAAATATATCTGGCAATATTAATTTTTTAGTTAAAGTTAGGCATATATATAATACTTCACCTTGTACCTTTCACATGTTAAAATGTTTTAGGATAATATCTGAAAAGTATGATAAGATAAAGCTCCCAGTAATTCCCATGAATGTTAGCAGTATCTGGTCTGATAAAGGAAAAAAACTAGGTTTCATAATATGTAACCAGTTTTAAATTTTTTACTACTTTATTCCACAGAGACTACTTTATTCTACATAAATTAAGATATGATTTTCCAACAAACCTTTTAATATTTAATAGTTCTTTTACATTTGCATAGCTTTAATCAGCTTAATTGCCCTAGCCAGGTTCACCTGATGTAAGACAAGTTAAAATTAGTCAAGAAATTGGTTAAAGTATAACTGATTTCTACAATGATTCCTTCTGTCTACCTTTAGCTGACAATATATTTGTAATCTGGTAATTTATCTGTACTTGATCAGATATTCAGTTTTAATGGTGTTTTTCAATAAATTTCAGATAATACTGAAAAAAGGTCACATTTTACATTTAGTTTAAATATCTTATGATTATATAGAGTAAGAAAACATAGTTATTAGAAAGTACAAACTTAAAATAAAACACAAACAGACAATTGTTCTGTAATGAGAACAAGTAAAACAAAAGCATAGTCTTTGTTAATATGTAAAACACTTCAACCACTTAAACACTGCATATGACACGCAGTTTTTCTATAACCCGAGTAACAACTCACCAGAATCAACTCTGCAGGCAAAGGAATTTTAAATTTATCTTTAAAAGGAATGTTGATAAAGTCCTTGATGACAACCAAAAGCAAAATTGATGTCAGTGAAAGAAGGACAACAATGTAATTGGCTGAGGTAATATTGGCAAACAGGGCAAACCAGGACTGTTGAGAAGACAGAATACACAAAATAATATTAGATTTTAGCAGATTATATATTAAAAAAAAAAAACAGAAATGAAAATTTAATACATTATTTACTGAACTTTTTAAAAGTCCTATCCAAACAAATACTGATGACTATCCATTAAATAAACTTTATAGGTTATCTACCAATTTATATCTATCCACTTATTTACAAGTACGTGTTAAACTGTGTTGGTTAGTTACCAATAACTGTCTATCACTTACTTACAAGTATGTGGTGAATTACCAATTACTGTCCATTTATAATCGCAACTATTTTATACTGGACAAGAAATTTCTATCTACCGTATTGTATAATTCAATGATATTACCTTGAAATTTTTAACTAAAAAAGCAAGGTATTATAAAACAGGGCTGCATAATAGCAAAACTTAAATTTGAGAATATAAAGGAATTGCATAAAACTGTTAGAAAAACAGGTTGAAAATAAGCTTCGCTGACGTATTATGTATGTATCAATTCAACTGATAAAGTAAATGTATTGTATCAACCAATAAGCTGTTAGTACAGTATTATCACTTAAGTTAGTGCTAGCTTAGTTTTGGTATAGCTTGAGGCATCAGTCTGAGACATTGACAAAACTGAGCCTAGTGTTAACCACTCAGAGCCTAGTTGAGTGCTACATTATGGCAGATGAATTTCTGGATATTGGTCAACAACGAACACAAGTTAGATTTATAAGCTGTACCTGACAGTACCACACAGATTGGGTATGTTGCCAAATTACTAAGTGAAGAGAAAACTTCGTCACACTCTGTTACGAAAGGGTGAAAACAGTACGGAGATGCCTATTTATCAGTTGTAAGCAGGACTGCTTGGCATATGGTCCTGCACTACAGAGGCTTCTTGGTGGTAGGAAGGTATCTTTATACTCAACTCCATTGGCCAATGTGTACACACCTCATGAGTGGCTACCATATTCTAATAGACTTCTGGCCCACCATCAATCACATGCCTTGTTAGGGTAGAGAGAGCTACAAACAGGAGTTATGAACAGTAAGTAACTAATATACTGCTTACAAGAAATGGTACATTGCCAACAGGTGTTTACAGGAGAATGTGGACTCAGCCTGAAACCTTGACTACCATTCAGGAGAAAAAAAAAAGAGAAACCAAGACCTAAACATTGAGTGGTAAATGAACATATGAATAAAAACCAAAGATAGTGAGAAAACCTGTTGGGCATTCATTGTCTTGGGAGCAACAACAATTTAAATAAAGCTGATGGAAACTTGCCACAAGTGGCACGAGGATGAAGCTGGAAGCCATAAATCAAGCTCTGGATTACTGAAAGCAACAAACCACAAATTGATAGTATCACAAACATAATATTTACAAATGACTCAAAGACAGTACTGAATAAAATTCTTAGTAATTGGTCTCCAAAGGAATGGCAGAAAGCAAAGCAACTGCATGGAATTACCATCAACTGGATGTATGTGTCATGCCATGAAGAGGTAAAGCTAAATGATAAAACTGGCAAATTCACATGAGAAGCCCCTTTTTTTGGCAGGATATTGACCTCCTCTGCACAAATAAAGGTGGAAACCATGAATGGTTTTCATGGACATCGTTCAGAAGAAACAAGTCTGCTAGAATAAAAAAAGTACTGTATGTTGTAGCTAAGAAAAGCAAAATATTGAGAATCAGTAAGACATTATTCAATCAGAAAGCCACTGGTAACATCAGTAAAGGACTCTACATCCTTTGAGGAAACCAATCTCCACATGAAGGGTTAATGCCCAGTGGCACAACCCCTAGAATTGTCACCTAGTACTCAACTCAACAGATAAGGTAAATGTATTGTATTCAATTCACAATTTAAATACACCTCAAGTTGTTGGTTTATCAATCTTTATTCTCAAATTAATATTTTATCTATGATTTGGAAGTTAGCATTTTTCTACACTGAAAATGTATTTCCAATAGATACTTACCTCTACTCACAAAATAGCTTTTCTTGACTAGCACTGCCCTCTATTGGAACAAATTTTCAATGCTTCTAGCCTTCCACCTCCAGCTCCTGCATATCCACATGCAAATGGTCATGCAGCAGCTCTCCACCAATAGGAGCATGACACCACTCCTATTGTAACCAAAGCCCTCTTCACATCTGCACACATTAATCACCTTGAGATTGGTCAGAAGATCTAAAACACATATCATTGGAAGTCGGGAGCCTGGATGGGAAATGCAAGTGGAGTTAAGTATCTATCGGAAATATATTTTCAGTGTAAGAAAATGCTAACGTTTGGTACAATATCTTACCTCCACTCACAAAATAGCTAGAATCCCACGCTGAACTGGTGGATCCTCTTTTAGGAAGAGCCCAAATAGAAGTCAGGAGGTATGAAATCAAAAGAGAAAACATCACATCTCAGCAGGAGACCATACCACATCTGATCCAGTTATACTCTTCACTCTTTTATGACAGTGTCATGAATATAAAAGGTGGAAACATGAAGAAATCCCAGAATATGTATGACTGATGAATGGAATTTCTGGGTGTTAAGTGGCTAGGATGCAACAGACCGTACCGTTAGTTTAACCTCAACCAACACCAGGCACTATCTGGAATGGTACATCAGATCCACAGCAGGTAGAGGAAAACCTACCTCTTCATCTCGAAATGGGAATTGGTAGGGAAGACAAGCTTCTGTAGTAAAATCTGTCACCACTTGCGTGCATTTCCAACCCAACCAATACCAGATCCACCAAAAATTGATATTCAGCGGATGGTAGGAAGGTGGAAAGCCATGGCAAGATGACATCCTTCATCAAAAATCTGACAGCAACGGGTATGGTACTTCCAGTCTGTGGTAGGAGTAGGATATTTGGCCATACACAAGCAGGGAAAACGTGCTGTGTCCAACTACATCCAACACTAGATCTGCCGGGAACTGACATCCAGCAGATGGTAGGAAGAGGGATCTCAAACCTGGGGTGCATCTCCAGTCCAATGGTGGCAGTGGGCATAACTCATCCATTCTGCAGTAGGAGGAGGAGGAAAACCGGCCAGCACACATGAGAACTTACTTATATATAAATGTTTATGAAATTGTGCAACTCATAAGGAAATTAACACTTGGCTTGGACATTACTTATAGAAAAAACAAGAAATTTGCCATAGAATTATTAGTCAATCTTTGGCTATTTAAATATATTTCTGAGCTATTTATTTCCAAAACATACATACCTCTGCTGACACTAATAGCTATTTCTCAATCTTCATCTTTGCCATCTAACGTTGTGTTCACTTGCTCCAATCTTTATATACCCCACTCAATTGCCCTTGGCAATATCTAATTTGCAAAACTTTACGCCAGCCCTCACACACCCTCTATGCAGGTACTGTATATAAGCATTGTATGCAGACAATAAAATCACATATTTCTAATGAACCATTACTCATGAACTATCTTGAGTAAAGCTAAAGGGTATTTTACCAGTTCCTGGTTCAAAACGCATCATTCTGTGGTTACTGGTAGGGATCCTTTCACAAAGATACATATATGTGCGCGGTCCAACTGCCCTGGCCACCAATGTGGATATGTATACCATGACCCCTTAAATCCAAACCAAGTTGTGGAACCTTGGCTATTTGGTCAGGGCTGGACCATTATACTTGTATTATATTCCACCCTTTTCAGTTTTCTGTAGTTCTGAGTGAAGAGCATACCTGTTCTGGATGTAGTGCAGTGTTCCCCACTTTGATATTACTTCTCGTGGTACACATTTGTTCTCTGCAGATGCTTTCTGTATGATCTCTGTCCTCACCTGCCCCTCTGCCTTCTCAATGTGGGATTCTAGCTATTTGTGTCAGCCGAGGTATATATGTCTTGGAAGTTATCATTTTACTAAACTGAAAATGTACTTCCATACATATTTACCTCCGCCCACACTCTTTATCCTTCCTCCCCACTAAAAGCCAGTGTTAGTGACTGGAATGAGGTAAGTCACGAAAAAGTGATTTTATTGTCTGCATACAGTGCTTATATACAGTACCTGCATAGAGGTAGTGTGAGGGCCAGCGTAAAGTTTTACAAATTAGATATTGCCAAGGGCAACTGAGTGAGGTATATAAAAATTGGAGCAAGTGAACACAACGTTAGATGGGAAAGATGAAGATTGAGAAATAGCTATTAGCGTCAGCAAAGGTAAGTATGTTTGGAAATATATTTTCAGTTTAGGAAAATGATTATGTACAAAATTACTTATGGGGTCTATGTGATGAATTTATTATTAATTATTTATTTTAATATCAATGTTTGTTTAGATTAAATTTATATTTAGAAACATGCATAGCTTATACTGTTAAATATGCATTGCGAAACTCCTACTTATTCCCCAAAGTTGTAGATGATTCTCAAGAGTAAGAATCAACAATATATGTGTGTATGTAAACACTAGTGTTAGCACCAGTATAGTTATGTAAAGCTGAAAATTCAAGAAAGCCTCCACATGCCTATAAATATAACCAATATGAAGCGCCAAAGGAGAGTATCTATTATTGGTTTGCTATAGTTGGTGTGCTATAAACTTCAAAATCTTTAACTGTGATTGTTATATTGCTTATCAATCAGAAAACTTCAGATATTTGACCAGGAGAATTTACAAAGTTCAAACATTACAAATCATTTAACTTCAGTGGATTCTCATCGGACATTAATATTTTTACAAAAACATTATATAAATTCATCGTGGAAAACTCGGCGTAAGTGGCTGGTAAATAATGAAGGACAAAGCTATCTAGCTTCCTGTTAAGTGAATTATACCTACATCAACTCGTAATCAACTCACTCATCGTGAACCTTCAATAAGATATCGAAGAAGTTCCAGACTAAAAGGAAGACTTTATATTGCTTGTAAGTTTGTGAAACTTTTGTTTATAAATCATTGTTTGTAATAACTGTTATTGTAAATTGTATTGTTCTGTGTACATTAAAACATGTGTGTTAAAAATGAAAACCGAGTGTATCAATCTTGTTGGCAAATATCATAAACTGACTATATATCGGCTTTTACTTAACA